ATTTTACTCTAGATGACGACCACTTGTTGATGACTTTTTAACAATCTTCAATTTTCAGAAACGTACTATCCCGAGGATGAGGAGAAATTTGGAGCATTTCCGGACTTCAAGGATAACTACCTAGACGACATTACGGAGGACATCGTGTGGGTGAACGAGGATAAGTTAAAGGGTAAATACACGATTATTTTATATTGTATACAGCGAGTAGTTTATATATTAGTTTTTTAGGTATATATTTACCCGCTTTGCATGCAATGTGTGCCCGTATTGCAAACTACATGTACGTGTTTTGTTATATTTGATTGATTTACCTGTATGTACCTACTTTGCGCACAATGTGTACGTGTACCCATTTTGATGAAAATTAGTAATTTTACGCTGTTCGTGTGTGTGCCCGCTTTGCCACCATTGTAATGACGCGACAATATACTGTAAAACATGTTGAAAAAGCGGCATGCAATTTTAGCGAATTGTGGAAAGACGTAATAGCGAAATGTTGATTTAGCGAATCTCTCTTGTCATTGTTGATTTCTTTGTTTGGCGGCCATTTTAAATTGATAATAAAGTCATTAGCGACATCTTGAATTAGCGAATCAATTCTCTCGCTAAATTCGCGAAAAAGACATGCTCGCAAAAAAGACATGTTTTACAGTATCCTCTTGCAGTTTCTCTCATAATACTCACACCGTAACTTGAACCAAAATCGACCCGTAGTACAACTTCTATAATATAACGTTCACTATCATTGGTTCACAGAAAATGACGCCGAGGCTGCCGATCTGGCCTTGGATTTGGGTCAACTATTGGACTATTACGTAGATACGGGAAAGCTCTCCGACAAAGATATCATGGGAGTTATGAATCTCCTCCAGTAGTGAAGTGAAGTCGATAACGTTTCGCTTGTCCTTTCTACATACTCGTATATTTGAAGAGTTGATATTCAGCAACATCTCCGTGATCATGTGACTCTCGTTCAATATCACCTGACCATCAATACACCAATCACGATCGCGATCTTGAGGTGACGTCTGTCCATGTGTGCCTTTTGAGTCAATGAACATAGAAAGGACAAGGGAAGTGGGCGTGGTTGGAGAGGAGTGTTTGACTTCGCAAAAAATGCAAGGTTATCTCTTGCTGTTTGAAAACAAATGCAAACACCTTTTCAGTTCATTTACAAACTAAAACTTATTGTTATATCAATCTTCCTGAAAATGTAACCTATTTTTTCAAGAATATAGTTAGCATCGGATGGTATTTAAAAATTCAAGTTCAAGTCCCAGTGTGCATCCTGTTGCACATGTGCAAATGTGACAAACGAAATTATACTTATCAGACAAATGAAAACAACTACCGTTTTTGTAAAATTTTGTTTTTTATTATTCAAAAGTTTGGGATGCGATTGGTTTAAAACAAGATACAAGTTATGGAAATCTACTTGAATTCTCCGTATAACATATTCCTTTAAAAAACACATCTTGGTTTTTAGAGTGGGTAAATATTGGATTCTTATCTAACATTAAATTGAGAAACAAACACAGCGATCCTAACTTTGGTTACTGCAACATTATAATTTTCCACAGCGAAACATTTCTAAGAAACGTCATTTCCTACTACAAAACCTATTTAAATCACGTATTTCTTGTGCAACGTGAAACCAATCCGGGAAGGATTCGGGTATGGGGCACTTAAAATCATATTGTCACTTTCAACTGACTTGTAACTGGGATCAATGACAAATACCACAGTTTACATGGAGGGTATTGTATTTTAATTAAAATATGGGTCATTTTATGCAAATGCATTTTGTGTCCCTCAACGATAATAGTATTAGTCATTCAATGAGTTTGTTCAACATGCACTATATATATATAATACCATGTACAGAGAAAGAGGACAATGTATAGCTGAATTACCGGTATTTTTTTTGTCAGTTAATGTCATTATTGTAATCATAGAATTGTTGAATATTTATTATATATCTATGAGGCATTTGTCTCCTTGGTAACAGTGTGTATGTCATTATATTTACAGTAAATGTTATTATCATTGTCATTATTATAATCATTATATTAATTATAATTTATCGCTCATCGAATCATCACTAACTATAACCTTTTAATTGCATTATCAGAATCCCTCGCTCTGATTGGCTGGCAACGAGACCAATTTGAAATGTGATGCCATTTACATAATGTTTTATCGTTATCGCCTCGTTTAATTTACTTACATTACCATGTTTTTCCACTGCACAAATTCGTGGGTAATACCAAATAGTTCAAGTAAAGGTGTAAGCGAGTCAGCGTTTATAATCAAACGGATACATTTTTGCGCGCGACTGCATTTAGTTTTCAGTTATTTTTACAATAAATCATAATGTCGAGTAATCGAGCAAAAATATCGTCTTGTCATAGCGAAGTTAATTAACGCCAGCAACCTCACCCACTCACTCTCTCCCCCCTCTCAGTGTCATTTCCTTGTTATTGGCAGATTACGTTGAATGAAGCAAATGTCACATTTGTCTGTACCTACACGTATAATTAACTATGAAGTTTGTTGAAACAGATAGAACTTAATAAGCGTCAAATTAAAGGCCATCGTTGGAGGAAGGAGTCGATCTTATCGGTGATGTCCCTCTCGCATTATTAGGCCGAATGTCCTATGGATTTATACCTTATCGAATTCATCTTGCAGCTCATCTATGTTGACGTATCTCATTTGGCGGTGCAGAACAAGTGTGATTATTGTGCATTCACCTGAAAGATGAGTATGGGGATGAATCGTGCGTTTGGTAAATGTCAATGATTTCTTCTAAGTTTGTGTATGATTGCGGAACGTAGAACAAAGTACGCTAAGTGCGCTAAACACGAACGTTTTTTTTCTCTTGAAATGAATGATTATTAATCATTATGGCGGATAGACCGCCATGTTCTGAGATAACATGTATGTTTGTTTGTTATTTTACACATTTGCGATACGTTTTGATTGAAATTTTTCTAAAAAACAGTGGTGCTTTATGTACTTCAGACCCAACTAGACAGTGACATATTGATGAGAATAAATACAACTTTTGAAAAATGTTCTATTTTGTAATGTTTTGAGATACGAATAATGACTTAGAATGGGGATAAAACTACAGAAAACTGACGCACTCCGCTTAAATATCTTGGGTAGAAAATAATCTAGCTAGAATTGAAATATGTCATCAGATTTGTTTTGACTTTTTTGTAGGTTTACGTTACGATTCAGTTCGAGACGCGAAATTGTATGCGAAATGACAAATTGAGAAAATTAGGGGATTCCCCTCTTGATAACAATTTTTATTAGGCCGCCGGGATCTGTTAAGAAAGAAAGAGCGATGAGATGTAGTTTTGTCTTTCAGGTAGTGTCCTCTTCTCCCTTGTCGCGGGACCACTGTTCCCCGGACTATGTAACCGCGTCATGGTAATATTCGTTAATTTATACAAACACTGGGTTTGACTCATTACAACACAGCCATTTGAAAGTCCGTGACAGATATTTTTATACACAAGTCGCTAAATCAGATCACAGAAATGTCTTCGTACTGATTTGACTATGCCGTGCACTATTTGTCAGTTATTTCGTTTTGATTCTGAGAACTGATTTGTCGATTGCTGTTAGCGGTTTAATGTCTTTCCTTTAACTTGTAAATTTCCCGATACGGCTTTTGTACAGAAATCGATGGTGGAATTGAAACATAAGTAAACCAGTCGGCAAGTCTATGTGTAAATAACAATTGTCATTGCTTATTGTAAAAAATATACCATGATGATAATTTTGAGACACAATTGTTGCGTTGCTTAGTTACAGCATTCACAACTAAGGTAATTTTAAAACACGATAATTTCACGTTTTTGTTTAAGAGCAACATGTGCATCAAATTCCAATATTATAAAACACGACGTCTAAGTTGAATACAATGTAAGGTACTTGAAACGACTGCTGAAAAAAGAAACGTGTGATCAATAGCTGGAATTTTTGCACTACTGAAATCATGTGAAAAGGTTCATTCATTCACGTGTGTGAATCAAACCATACGCGTGAGAGTTGAATGTTAATTTTCTCACGTGAAAACGCCCCCGCTTTTATTTACACTGAGTGTCCGTTCGCATAAAACCTATCATAACCCCTCATTCGTTCGTGTAGATTTAAATGAAACCCGTCAGCCAACCTGGACTGTCTATCCTGGAAAATTATTCAGGACTGTCACTGACCGAGAACGAACAACCACAGAAAAAAAAAACATTCGACCAATCACTTATTTTCGAAAGATTGAAACAACAACAATCAAATTTATAATAATACAATAACCATAACCCTTCGCCGTCGTTGTCAACTTAATTGACTGAAAGAAGTGCATGGGATGATCTCAAAGATAGAAATGGCTGGGAATAACTTAGACATAGCATTAGAAATTACAGAGTTTTTTTTCTGTGGATATAATGAGCTGCATTGGTTAATCACTGGGTTGTAAAAGTGATAGCACAGTAGAAAAATCAAGTGATATAGGTGGTAGATTGAGCACAGGAAATAACTGGGTGTTACGGGGGATAAATTTGGAATTGAAATGTGCTGGGTGCTACCAGAATTGATTTAGCAGGAGAAATTAATTGGTGTTTGAGGGTTATATTTGGAATATAGAAATATGTTGGGTGCTAGCAGAATTGGTCTAGCAGAAAAATGCCCGAGGTGCCACTGGGGATAGATTTGGAATTCAGAAATGTGTTTGAAGCTACCAGAATGAATTAGGAGGAGAAATTAGAATTGATGTTATTAGATTGTGTAATGTGTATAATAACGGTCACGTATTTGGGAATAAAATCGACGCTTGAGAACGATTTCTCTGAAGATCCTGTCCTACCAGGATAAATCTAGCAGAAAAAAATGAATGGATGTTACTGGGGATTGATTTAGAATTTAGAAGTGCGTGGGTCTTACCAGAATGGATCTAGCAGAAAAAATATCTAGGTGTTATTGGGGATAGATTTGGAATTTTGAAACTTGTTAGGTGATACCAGAATGGATCTAGCAAGAGAAAAATCATGGATGTTACTGAGGACTGGTTTTAGAAGTGTATGGGTCCTACCAGGATGGATCTAGCAAAAACAAAATCTGGGTGTTATTCGGGATTTAAAACGTATTAGGAGATACCAGGATGGATCTAGCAGAAGAAAGGACTGGGTGAATTGAGAAATGTGTTTGAAGCTACCAGAATGGATTTTGCAGAAATAAAAATGTTAGTGGGGATGAAGTAGAAAATTAGAAAAGCGTTTGGTGCTAGCAGAAAACAAAAACTGGATTTTACTGGATCATGTAATGTGTGCGGTCACGTATTTGGAAAGAAAATCGATACTTGAGACAGATTTCTCTGAAGATACTAATCACTTTTATCTATAAGTCATCTTCGGTAGAAAACGCCAAATGTGGCAGTTGAAATAAACCCTCGACAGCTCTGTACGTGCGGACAATACTGATGCTACTCTAATACACAGCATCCTAGTATGACTCAATGCTCTCTGTTGTAATTGTGTCATCTTCATACCTTTGGGTCAGTGTATAGGCAACGCTTATAGTATTAGAGAGGTCACTGATCTATGTATGCCTGGCGGTCTATCGCCAAGAAAATTCGAAATAACTTGGAATTAAATTTATATTAAATTATAGTGTAATATAAATAAATATCTGACAACAATATGTTATATGTGTACTAAAATCAGTTTTTTTTAGTAAAATCGACCACCGCCTAAAAGACAGGTCAGATTTAGTGCGATTGAAGATTCAATTTAGGAATTACAGGCCTGGGTATGTCACCATTCAACCAGGCCACTTTGTGTCTTATTTCGGTAATCTTTTATAATTGGAAACTTATATATTGCAATTTGTTCTCGTGGATATGGTCCAGTCTAATATTTTAATGAGAGCTGTGGGGCATTCTATGCGACATTGAGCCGCCCACCTTGACAAC